GATTCTATCTTTCAGCTTTGCTAATTTTGGGACAAAAAATCTGTTCCAGTCCTCCCTATGTCTTCCCGAGCCTGCTCAGTTCTTTTTCTAAATGGTTACTTTTCCTGAAAATCCTTTTGATTGTGTTGTGGTGCATGATTGGCCTTCACTAGGGGATGAATTTTGGATATGCTGGGCCACAAAATCCTAGTGATGCCCTGACTGTTAGGTGACAACCTTAAATGCATTTCAATTTTGTTGCTACAACCGTCCGATCAATTCCTTGACGTTCATAGTTCGTAATGGGTGCTCCATGTCATCTCCATCCGTGCATTGGAGCTTGGTATGGCAATACTTGTCAATGCAGTTAATGGCTAGACAACTGCATGAATCCATGAGCTGCAAACATTAGATTTTATGAATTGACTGGACAGGTGTTTTATATCATGAAATCATTAAAAGGAAACACGTATTGATGCAAATTAGGAAAGAATATACATTAATTTGAAGGTTGTGGCTGACTTTTTTGGGCAATGTGCAGACCTATGATGGTATGATTGTTGGTGAACATTCACGAGATACAGATCTCGATGTAAGAGAGTTGTCTTTTGACTCTTCTCTTAATATATCATGCATTGTGTTTTTTCAGGGCAATTGACCTTCCAGTGGTTTCTTGTCTCAGGTCAACCCAGTAAGGACCAAGGAACTTACCAATATACGTTCTGCTGGCAAAGATGAGAATGTGAAGCTATCTCCTCCTCGCCTTGTACGAATCCTTTGTCCAGCTTCTTACTTATTGTTCTATTTCTGCAATTAAATGGTTTTTGCAATAAGGTGCTGTTTTCCGTAGGTTTTATCTGAAGAATAGCTTCTCATGTACCAGTGGTAAAGAGAAACAATATAGAAAGTGCAGGGCCCTTCGGTAGATGGTCCTGTTAGGAGAATTGTCTATACTTCCAAANGAATAGCTTCTCATGTACCAGTGGTAAAGAGAAACAATATAGAAAGTGCAGGGCCCTTCGGTAGATGGTCCTGTTAGGAGAATTGTCTATACTTCCAAATTTCATAACTGAATAGTTTGGAGATGTAACGTGAGATTTTTGCTTCCTTTAATGTGTGTTTTGCTATTTGTCTGTCCCTTTGCGAATCGGTTTTTTGTTTGTTTTGGCAACATCACAGCCATGGTTAAGCTATGGGATTATAAGTTTTTCCCCATTGGATAACCCCCCAAAGGACAACTGTAATTAGCCCTTGTTAGGTAATACAGTAAAGTGAAGAAATAAAGTCTTACAATTTGTTTGTGATTATTTAACATCTAAATGGATTTTCGGTACAGATGACTCTTGAAGAAGCAATAGGGTATGTTGCCTCTGATGAGCTCATTGAGGTATGCTCCTTGAACTTTGATTTTTGTACTTTTGATAAAAATAACAAGATCCCTTTTATACTTAGAAATCACATACTACAAGGCTCATTTGATTGAGCATGTATAATCTGATGAATTTCTTAATTTTAATGTTTGTGTTGTTCACGGATAGGACTGAATATTTTTTTAATTCTTCACCCATTCCGAGAATGGGAATATGTCCACTTTTCACGAAGTCTTGGGAGTTTTTTTTAAACCATTCTCGAGATCTCTTTTTGCTAGGGCTGACTATGAAATCATTTAATGTGATGGTATCTTGTACTGGTTATGCAGGTTACGCCAAAAGCGATTCGATTAAGAAAGAGATACCTGGATGCTGGCAAGCGTAAAACGATGAGAAATAAGCCTAAGGATTGAAGCCTTTGTCTTGGTACAATTTTGAAGCCTTATTCCTGATTTTTTGAGTCTCTGAGAACAGTTTACTACGGTGAACAATTCTTAACTACAAGTCACCTCAATTCAGGTTATATATCATGAGAAATGTATAATTTATTCTTTCAGAAAGAAACCCTAATGTTGTACCATTAAAAAATGATGGCAATAAGAAAATATTATTATTGATACATAATTTGCACCAAAGTTCATACCAATTGTGTTGATTTGTCTTATTTAAGGCGTTCCCTACAGATGAATTGATCATGGTTTATATGTTCACAACCAGCAAGGGAGCAATAGAATTGAATGGGTATCACTTGGTCAATGGTTGGAATCACCTTATTTATGTAAGTAGTAATTTAGGGACACAAGTCTTTATGTAGGCTGTGCAATACACCATGAAGACACTCAGACAGTGGGCGCAGCAATGTGGATGGATGGCAATGACACTTTCAGCTTCAGTTTTGACAGTTTGTTTGTCACAATTCATTTTTTATGGCCTTTACTAATACTGATTCTGCTGTATGTTAACGGCGCCAGCTCTCATTCTTCTAAGTTTTCTCAACATGCCCTTTTTCTTTTTATGTCTGTTAGTTGAGTGTTGGAAGAGATGGGCTAATATACGGATTTAACCTTTGTATAACCATGCATATAGTGGCTACTCAAATGCTCAATCCAAGCATTTTTTTCTTTTCTTGAGGGAAAAAAACCTCAATTTTTTTTACTGGAGTTCATTATCATCTTATTGGTTTATATGCAATTATTTCATTTGTGAGAGCATCTCCAATAGTACTCTTTGATGATGCACAAAATTGATTATGTACGATCAAATCAATCGAGTGTGTGGTGTAGAATAATTAATGAAGTAATTAATAATAAGAGATAAAAATTGAGTGGTTGGATATGAGTGACATAATTATTGAAGGTGGCAATGGTAGTTGAAGAACTCTATTAATGAGAGTACAAAGTAATAGGGGGGAGATAGGGAGAGCAAGAGTATGTTCGAGGTGAGGTATGTAAGATTTGCCCTTATGTGGGGTGTGGTTTATAATTTATAGGCACAGAGTTCTGATTGAGGCGGTGATGTTACGATTAAGTTATTAATTTGTTAGGGAGGATAGTTACAATTGGGGATAAATATTATCTTGGAGTAATGATTATTTCGATGATTGTTCTTTCACGTGCGTTGACTTTTTTAAGACTCTTGAACTTTGGACTGGACTGAAGTCAAGAACTAAGCTTGATTTACCTTTAGATGTTTTGAGCTCAACCATGAACAAAGTTTATGCCTGATTTAGATTTGGGCTTGTAACTCTTTATTTTTGAGAGAATCTTTTATGATATAGAGCATCTTTTATAAAAATTTGAAATCGAGAGAAAATTATTTTAGACAATTTCAATAAATTTTCTATTCTAACAGGAGAATAATCGTTTATTTAATGAAAAAGATATAGATGTCATTTTATCATTAATTAATGATCAAATAGAGAGCGAGTTTAACTCTCGAAATATAGAGTTAAATTAAATTTTATTTTAGCTGGCTTAAATAAAGAGCTCATTTGAGATAGGTTTTTAAAAATTAAAATTTTTAAAATAGAGGATTGAGTAAGGATAAAAAATTTATTAGAGATGCTCTTCCTTGAAGCAATCAGGTAGTTAGACAATTCATTGCGTGTTCAGTACACTTTCAAGGAAAAGTCGGAAAGAATATAGCAAATTATACTTGGCCCCTTCGATTGTGATTATTGCCTCACGTTCACTAAACATTTGGACATAAAATGTCCCCATGCGTGATAAATACAAGTTTTCTAATGTTTAAGATTGGGTCAATGTGAAACTAATAATCATAATAAGTGGTGTAATATGAAAATGCAATATAGTCGAGGGGGCATGGTGAGATCGATAAACATGATTGGAAGTGTAATATGAAAAATATGATAGTTGGTGGGGGGCAACTTGAGATATGGGCATAGTTGAGGAGACTAATATTTAGGTAATGATTCTTAATTAAATGCAATAATGAATTATATAGTTGACTTACAAGGGCTAATAATTCTTAGCCCGGCTAGCTAATTCAATGGGGGCACTAGTAAGTTATTATGAGTTATAGTTGGATTGAACTGTCAAACTCTGTTAATAAATAAATCAAAAAAATCTTAATATATAAATTTGATTACATGCGAGGAGAAACTTACTAGACATGAACTTGATTATAAAAAGTTGTAATTAAGTAGTATATATAATATAATTGGTCCACAGTATACGTATATCAGATATCTTGTAACACTAAATAGAGCAGAAGTAAGCATGAGTAGAACCCAGTGGGACTCACATTGTCCCATATTAAATTTTCAATTCTAGATCAATATACGAACCTAAGTAGAATACCTTATTTTTAAGTATCTAAGTGATCCAAACTTACCTAAAACGGGTCTCTCATAGAGCAAGGACTCGGCTGTTAGTTAATAGCTGTTAGTTTTTGGGTGGATCTTTTTGCTCTATATTATTTATATATATGCTTGGCGAAAATAATATTTTTTTTAATACACTTAGAATATAAATTCATCAAGGGATTATGATAAGTGATCATTAAAGATAGAGACAAACAAAGTCATATAAATTCTCAATAAGGGAGGAACTTGATTTCGGCTCGTCAATTGTACCACTATAAGAAAAAGGACTATAGAGATGAATAATCATAGACCGAGGTTCGATAAGTGGCCAATAATAATCGCAAGATGCTAACTAGGCTTGAGAAAAGGCAGGAAAAAACATCAATCAGCCAAAAATTAATAACAAAATTCATAACAACGCAGTATATGACCTATTATTCAAAATTTGAAGAAATTTAATACTGGTATGAACCCTAATTCAATCGTTAGAAAGGGTTTGGATGAACCTCATGATGTTTGGTTCATCACATGAATTAAACGGAAGCAGACGATTCTTCGCTACCAACGATGTCTCCTAAAATTTTTAAAATCCTCTTCCATTCCTTGTGGTGAGGATATTGAGAATATATGTCCTTTCAATATTTGTATAGTGGCCTCTCAAAGGAAAACAAATTACTTTGAGACCATAAATGTTGAAACTGAGGACAAAATATTATTGATATCAATTGATTTTATTTTTCCGGTAAGTGATGTCAGATGATCTTGACATGATTGGATCATGCTTTTTCGAACTCGTGTTGATTAATAGTCAATTTTTTTAAAAAAAAATGAGAAAAAAAATAATAAAAAATGAGAAAAAAATAGAGAACGAGAGAAAGGAGAAAATCATATGGATTAGTCAATTGCTAATGGGAATGCACTGACCGAAGGCGGCCGTAGAATTTTCGTCTACTTTGTACTTTTCTCTTCGTTTTCCATTAGGCTTATAGCCATCATTACCATTTTACTAATTCACTATAATTTTCCAACGGGGTTCTTAGTTGTTTCTCATCTTTTGTATTAGACTATTTAGATCTACTAAATTATACCCCCACATTTTACACTTAACTACCCATTTTTCAAACTATAATTTAAATTATTGGTTTTCGTTTTGCACTACCCCCGTCATTAGTTTCTATTCAATTTCTTCGCAACAAATCAAGAGAAGCGAAAGATCATATCTCCTAATATTGTAAAATTTTGTTTTGTCATAATTTATTGTTAAAAATTAAGGACAACTCGTATCTGAATGTACGGTATAATGTGAATAGTTTTGAGAGAGATATTAGTGACCGTTGAATGAATATATTTAATACCGTTAGGTGAATTTACTAAAATCTGTCTTATTTTATGTTATAGAATTAGATAAAAAATTAAAGATCTTAGAAATATAAAACTCACACCAAACTTGAAGGTGTAGCGATAGAAAGCAGATAGTTTAGGAAAGGAACATTAAGAAATAGAAGCATGGTTTTGGGGTCCAAGTGCGACATGCCTCTTCTTTTTAATACTTTCATTAATGCGTGTTAAAAAAAATAATGTCTAGGGAAAAAATTGCACTTTGTACTGTGAAGGATTTATGAAATTTTATTTAATTTCTTAAAAATTAAAAAATTAAATATTATACTCTCAATATATTAAAAGTAATATAATACGGTCAGTTTGTTGTTTATTTCGTCAGTTTCAAATGGGGTAATTTTTGACAGAATATGTAACAGAAGTTAATGGAAGGGTCATATTAGAATATTTATAAAATATTGAGAGTATATTATAAAAAAATTAATCTTAAGAGTATAAAATAAGAATTCTTAAATCGTTTAGGGCACAAAATATAATTTCTCTTATGTTTAATCTTAGCAAAGAAGAAATTAAAAATATGATATTTGAATGCATCTCCCTCTTCTCAAATCTTTCCATCTCTTCATATAACGGGCCGCTCTCTCTCTCTGTCTCTCTCTCTCTCTCTCTCTCTCTCTCTCACATTCTGAGATCTGTAGGGTAGAAGATTCATCCCGTTAGATCTCTCTCTCTGGCATACACAGTTTCGATAGATACATTTAGAAATGGGGGCGTATAGAGCGGACGATGATTACGACTACTTGTTCAAGGTGGTTCTGATCGGTGACTCAGGTGTCGGAAAATCCAACCTTCTCTCCAGATTCACGAGAAACGAGTTCAGCCTCGAGTCCAAATCCACAATTGGAGTCGAATTCGCCACTCGCAGCATTCGCGTCGACGACAAGGTCGTCAAGGCTCAGATTTGGGACACAGCTGGTCAAGAACGGTAACGATCTACTCCTCATTTTTTATTTTTCTTTATGTATACATATATATTTTTCGCGGAATTCTATGTGTTGGTTTGAAATTCGAGATCTGTGTATTATAGAGGATTGTTATGGAATGCATAATGCATAGCGTTACTTTTTTTTTTTTTTTTTGAGATTTGGGTTGATAGCAGATCTGAAGTTTTGCAGGTGGCTGTAAAAGTATCGTTGATTTCTATATGAAAAAGAGTGCTCATATTAGGCCTGGATTATTGCAGTCTTCTATTTTCTTAGGTTCTGTATGATGAAAAATCTGGCACAAATATGAATTTCTAGGCTAGATGTTCTTAGCAAGAAAAAGGAATACATTCATAATAAACGTTACCCTCTGTATATTACATGCAGAATGATGGAAGTAATGTTATGTTTGGATGCGGGGAATTCAGGCCTCAGAAATGGAATTTGGGGGAAGATTTGTCCAAGACCCTAATTCCCTGCATAAGTTCAGGCTGAGCTATTGGTATTGACCATAGATAGATTTTGTCTTAAAATGAAAAAACCCAATCTATTTAATTGGTTAGACAAGCTCAACCTCATATGTTACATGGCCTGTCTCTATTTGGAGATTCAGGTCATATCGCCACTTCGTGGAGTAGTCCCAGACATCTTCGAGTCAACCACGAGTTAAGTGAAATTGGAGATTATACAGAACGTATATTGTCTCGTTACGAAAGGGGCTAAATTGTGTACAACACAGCCATGATGGAGAATGCTAGAAGTTTGGTTAGTTAATCATGAGAAGGGAACAACACAAAAAGTACTTCAAAATAAAGTGAATTCTTTATGCAGTTCTTATTGTCCAAGCACTATAATTATGTTTTCAGAAATCTATATAGTAATATCTATTTTGTTTCTGTCAGCATTTGTTTGTCTTGCTTTACACCGTGTTGGCTTTGGGAGCCGTGAGTGAGAAAAAGAGAACTTGTAATGTTAAAAATACTGTTCCAAAACATCAACTAGTTAGTGGAATTGGAAGCAAACTTGGAATGCTAATTGAGACTCTAGCGTCCCGCAATTACATTGATTGGAGACTTTTATCTTTTAATTCTATTGGCATAACAGAAATGTGTTTGAGGAATTAGATGTTGTATCCCTCAAACCTGTCAGGAAGACAGTTATAAAACATGAAACCGTTATTGTATGTAGGTTTTCATCTGAAATTGAAGATCTGATTTAGTTCTTTATTATTATAATGGAAAGTTCTGATCGCATTGGTTTCTAGTTTTAAATTCATATATTTCTTGTTCTGCTTCTGCACTCTTGCCATTGTTAAAGCTGTTTTTTTTCTCTGGCTTACTTATGAATTGCTGCTACGTCATCAATGATTTCTGATACTCCATGTAGCTTTCTTGCATAATAAAAACATCTGTTCCACTGTTACCTGTAACGTTGTATAAATTATTGCACAAAGTAGCGTCCTGTTTGGACTATGTTCCATGAAGAATGATTCTTTGCTCTCATTTTGTATTTTCTGTTAAAGATACCGTGCAATCACAAGTGCATACTACCGAGGAGCTGTTGGCGCATTGCTTGTGTATGATGTTACTCGACATGTCACATTTGAGAATGTTGAGAGATGGTTGAAGGAGCTCCGAGATCATACAGATTCAAACATTGTGATCATGCTTGTTGGAAACAAGGCAGATTTACGTCACTTGCGTGCTGTTTCCACCGAGGATGCCAAGGCATTTGCTGAGAGGGAGAGCACTTTTTTTATGGAAACATCTGCTCTGGAGTCCATGAATGTGGAAAATGCCTTCACCGAAGTGCTTACTCAGATATATCGTGTTGTAAGCCGGAAAGCTCTTGACGTTGGTGATGACCCTGCGGCTTTGCCCAAGGGACAAACCATTAATGTTGGCACCAAGGATGACGTGTCAGCTGTGAAAAAGGTTGGTTGCTGTTCTGCTTAGAAAAGAGGATGATCCAGTGGTAAAGTACAGTTTCTCCTCTAAGATTTCCAATTCTAGGTGGCAGCGGTACTTTTTCAGATGTATCAGAGTGGTAAACACACATGGATTGTTGTGTGAACAATGATTTTGTGTTAAAGGATACCATGGTCTGTATTTGACCAAAACCACAACGTCAACGATCTGATTTATTTTCACTGCATATGTTCCTCATTTTTACTCGGTGTATGATCGTAGTTCTTAGCTATCCTTTAGGTTAGGTTATATTTGGTTGCTCAGGACTAGAATTTGGTTATGCCTTATGACACTTTCCTCTCCCTTAGTACCCTCTAATGATATTGATTTGATTTGTTGTTCACCATGGATGAAGAAATGTTTGTTTCATTCTTTCCAATTGTAGTTGAATGCTGCGTTCATCATCAAGCCAAGTGTTACCATTTTGTTCTCATCTGTTCCCCCATCTATCATTGCTTTGCATGCAGTCGATTATATTTTTACCTACCATTTTGTCTGTGCGGTGTTTTTTTTTTTTTTTTTTTTTTTTGGGGGGTGGGGCGGGGGGGTTAGATTCAATTATATTTTTATATACCGTTTTGTCTGTGTCGTGTGTGTAACTGTGTATGTGTGTTTGGTTTTTTTTGGGGGGGTGGTGTAGATTAAAATTGGTATCTCTGTGCACCATGTTGATGGTATTGTGAGTTTTTCCATTAATTTTGCAAAAAATCATGCATCTAAATGTAAAGTGGTTTTCAGCAAATGGATTCAGAGCTTGGTTTGGGAGACAGGTTTGTCAAGTTAAGACTGACTGGTTTCAAATAGGTATTGCTGTAGGTTCAAATGATGTAACAGGGTTTCCCACTGGGAATAGGCTATTAATGCTGTGATATCAGCTAATTGGACAACCTTTGAAAACAGGAAAAAGAAAGCTGCTAGAGCGAAGTGATTGTATAGGAAAGCCCAGGATCGAAACAACTACTTGTCCTCGGCATCCCCTGTTTAACTTGTAATGACTTTTAGACGTGTATCCAAAAATATTTCACAATTTTTTGCATCCGAAATTCAATATAGTTAGTGGATCCCATTAACTTTTTTTAATGGGACCCACACTTCCAAGCATTCACATTCATTTGGGATGTCAAAACCTCCACCTCATGTACCTTGTGGATCAGAGGATTGATCGATATTGCATGTTAGAGATGGTGTCTTCACAAAGATAAGGACTATGCAGGAAAATAAACGAAGTAAAAGGAAGAAAATGCTCAATGTGGCAGACGCAAGGTTAAGACAACCAAATCAAAACAAGGCAAGTGCAAAGCCATCTTATTATAATTTTTTACTTTATTTTATCATCCGTAGTTGATGGCAACAAATAATCGAAACAAAGATTTACCGGTAAAAGTCATGTTTTGTAAGGTGCTGAAAATTATTTTTGCGTAACAGAGCTTTCCCATGGTTGGGACAGTGCAATAAAAAGTAACATTTGCCCCATTCATATGTACAAAGACATTAAATTACTAGCTTTCTAAACCAACATAATAAAGACACGAATACATACTTTTCAGTGATAATATCGTTATTGGAGACGCCGCGGTTGCGGACATTTATAAGGATGTCATCAATCACTTGGGGGAAAGCCTAGACGATGTTTTTCTTCTGGGTCTGCAGTAAGGATATCGAGAGGTCGTTCTGCCCCTTGTCCCCAAAAATTAGTAATATTTTCTCATACAATAAAACATGTATTTTTATCAATCACGCCAACATTCCATTCTCTACAATTTCTAGCTCTATGAAGGCAAAGCTGTAGCTCTGCAGAGGGGGCAATCATTCTTCTGATGTAACCACTTCCTTATGCACATTTCATGAAATTCATGTCCACATGCAAGGGTACCAATTTTCTGATTGTTGTCATACTCAACCTGCAAGCACATATCTTTGGTTAGCAAAAGGGTTAAAACAACTTTAAAAACCGAATCTGATACTGTGAACAAGTAAAAGAGTTAGAAGAACAGTATATATTTACTTGGCATATAACGCATGTTTCTGGTTCTTCATCCACAGTTGCGGTCTCTTTCAGATTTACTTGATGTGCAGATTTAACATAGGTCTTTATTTTTAGACGCCTTAAGATGGTTCCATCTGACAACGGTTCGTCGACCTGGCTCATTTGTTTTACTAGTAGCTGCACCTCCTGTGATTTGCAATATTATTGGGTAGTCGGTCCATTAAAAAAACTGTTACAAAACAATTTTTTCTAAAAATCTTGATTTTGGGTGAACCATAAGTGTCCCTAACCTAATTATGTGATAATTAATGGTTTCTTTCATAAGGAGAAAACAGTACAGATGTAATATCAAAGATGAATGAAACTCTTAGAAGGCGAATTCACGAAAAAGAACATATTCAAGCCTGATTATATGTAGACAATTTTTATTGTACTCCCTTGCCATAATGGTTCAGTTCCTATTAGTATCCATGAGTTTTTCAATGAAATAGTTTTCGGAACTCAGGGAACTTACCTCATTAGACATGTCTTCGGAAAATTGTAGAAAAAAGCCAACTATATCAAAATTTTCAACCGGCAATCTTGCCACCTTGACCATACTTACTTAATCTTCATGCATAAGAATGTGAACTGGAAAGAGAGAACAATAACAAATTGGATGATAGGAAAAAATCAGAAAAAACAAATTAAAGAACTTACATCTAGCAGTATACTGTTCCAGATATTGCTTCGTGGGGAGGTTGGCGTATTGGGCAATGGGCATAATATCGGTACTTATGCCATTAACACTAATATTATCTGATGGGCTCGTGTCACCAGTATACAGGCTCTGTGGTGCCATGATTCTGATGCTCGACGTATTGGTTATGGTTATTCTCAGTGGTTGATGTATCAAAGGTTGGTGGAGGAGGGTTTGCTGATGAAGGAGGGCCGTGATAATCATAGAAGTTGAATCCACCATAGTAAAATCGGTCATCTCCATTAGAAAGAGCCGCAGAGACAGGTAATATAGGAATGTGATGCAATGGAGGCAAGTTGTTGCCATTGCTCACAGTATTGGTAGAATTAGAAAAACAGTGTTGGTCTCCAGAATGGTGGTGGGGAAGTCGATGGTTACTCCCCTGATTCGCAATGGGTGCATTGCAGTCCTGCCCCGATTGATCATCGAGAACTTGATTTGTGTGCTGTGTGTTTCTTGGATTAATCGCCCGCATGTTTCTCTGTTGGTTAAACTAGGATATGAAAGCTTTAGAGTTAGAAGGCTTTATTGCAGACCTCAGTAACTCAATTTTTGCAGAGCAGTATATACCAGCTTTCTCTTCTTATTGTTTCTGTCATTCTATGTCTTCAAAAGCATCAAGAGAGCATATGATGATCATGGTATCTGATCAGATAATGGCTGGAAGAGATCCCTTTAATATTGAGACCAAAGTAGGTCAAAACTGAAACACTTCCAATTGAGTTAGGACTAGGAAACAAATTAAGATTGTTAATGTCCGGGTAATCACGCGCTGCCAAGTAGTTTCTAGCTTGCTTCCAATGAATTCCATTTCCAAATTTTGCAGGACACTACTACTTCTTCTTGGGAGTCTCCCAAAGTGGCACATTCTGATATGTTGCCTTGGGATAACTAAGTATCTCTTGAAGATCATTATTATTCCTTTTTGGGCAAGTATTCATCATTGTTACGGTAACCCATCACGAACGTCCCTTATTTTGTTATTCATCCCTTGTTTTGTTTCCCTATAAGGGAAGCCCATCACGAGAGAGAGAGAGAGAGAGAGCGAGAGAGAGAACGAGCCAATAACGTGTATGAATCAAGAGTGATGCTTATCCATAGGGGTGAATTCCNCAAGTATTCATCATTGTTACGGTAACCCATCACGAACGTCCCTTATTTTGTTATTCATCCCTTGTTTTGTTTCCCTATAAGGGAAGCCCATCACGAGAGAGAGAGAGAGAGAGAGAGAGAGAGAGAGAGAGAGAGAGAGAGAGAGAACGAGCCAATAACGTGTATGAATCAAGAGTGATGCTTATCCATAGGGGTGAATTCCTGGACTGTTAGGAGTATGGCGGCTAAACCGTGTTAGAGAGCGTATTTTTTTGTTATAACGATTGTGATCGTAAACAACAAAGATAGTGAGTGTGATTGTAAATAACTTATTAAACTCGAGAGTCACATGACTATATTTAAATAATATTTTTTTTATATAAATTTAAATCATTTATTTAGTTAAATTAAATAATAATTTGTGTATTGAATTATTAATTTTTGTTTTAATTATTACTAAATCTAATTATTGAGGGTGTCTCATATTCACTACGCACTCGATCTAATACACCCAATCTGAGTNTAGAGAGCGTATTTTTTTGTTATAACGATTGTGATCGTAAACAACAAAGATAGTGATTGTGATTGTAAATAACTTATTAAACTAGAGAGTCACGCGACTATATTTAAATAATATTTTTTTATATAAATTTAAATCATTTATTTAGTTAAATTAAATAATAAATTGTGTATTGAATTATTAATTTTTGTTTTAATTATTACTAAATCTAATTATTGAGGGTGTCTCATATTCACTACGCACTTGATCTAATACACCCAATCTGAATAAAATTACTTTATTAGATATACATTGCCTAGTGAATATGAGACACTCGTCATTTTCTCTTTTGTTTATAATGAAACTTTACTGTAAGATTTTCATTACTAATTATTNTAAAATTACTTTATTAGATATACATTGCCTAGTGAATATGAGACACTCGTCATTTTCTCTTTTGTTTATAATGAAACTTTACTGTAAGATTTTCATTACTAATTATTTGCACATTCAATGATATTCTTGATTTATTATATTTTTATCAAAGAGATTTATTAAATTGCTTTACTCTTATTTGTATTATAATAACATGATATTATTTCCTACCAAAAAATCAAATAAGATATATATTAAATCATAGAATCCAATCCCACAACTACATGTATATAATAATAGAATATATATTTGACTTTATTTATTCATATAAATATAAGTTTAGATATAAAAAATTATATGCAAGTGTACTACAAATAAATAAGTTTAGAAGAATTTCGAAGTTCAATATTTTTAACAAAAAAATCTAGAACTTAAAAGTCAAAGTATAAAAAATAAAAATGAAATGAATGTATGTAATATACGGGTATCATTGACTTTATAATAATATCCAAAATAGGAACTCAACATTTTTTTCACAAAACGAACGTCGTGTATTAATAGCTTAATTTTATAAAATCAATTATATTCTTATGCCTTTGTATAATTTTTATTTTTATACGTAATTTGAATTTCAACTTTTTTTAAACTCTTTTATAAACAGTGATGGAGGAAAAATTGAGCTATCATAAATTCTAACTCTGTTGAATTATCAATCAAACCCATCTTGGAAGTGTGTTAATTCGAATAGAATTAGGGCATTTGAATACCGCACATGGGATAAATTCAAATCCTATAGATAAATAAATGATGTGATAATATCATAATCTTATTCAAAATGGGGATTAGCAAGCAGGACTCCAATCTTGGTTAATGGTGTCGAACCTATCAGGTTAAGAGGTTATGTGTTGAGTTAAACGAGTAATAAGTAAAAAATATATAAACCTGTACACGACACGTTTAATAAACGGGTAAAAAATTTTAACACGAACGCGACTCATTTAATAAATAGGTAACACGACACGACTCGTTTAACTCGTTTAATTTTTAAAAAATTATATTAATAAATTTTAATATTCAACTTTTTTTTTATTACCAATTGCACTTATCTCAAAAAAGAAGAATTTTTATCCAAATCTCATAAAAATAAGACTTGAAGGTTTAAAAAAAAAAAGTAAGAGGCCATTGTTTTTTATAGGCAACTCAACCCTCCCCATCTCCCCTCATTTTCCAATGTGAGACAAAAATAAAAGACATTGGTTTGCCTTTGTCTTTGAAGTGTTTCTCATCTCATCTCTTTTGTCTTTGAACTATTACTTTACTTTTTTTTTAATTGATTTCTTTACTTCTTTCTTTCTTGCTAATTTTTTAAAATAATTATTAATTTATTATTTTATTAATTTTATTTAAACAGGTAAATATGTGATAAATGATTTGACAGATCTCATCCGAACACGACCCGTTTATTAAACGTGCTTAGCGTGTCAATCCATTTATCATCCAAACCTATTAAAATCTCATCCAAACCTGCTTAATTCGTGTTGATTAGTCGTGTCGTGTCGAATTTTGATAGCCTTAATCTTGGTACAACTCTATCATTAAAGCTCCTATAAATTCAAATCCAACCGGTACCCAAGGTATACATCTTACCCTTTTTCTTTGTATTAGTTAATCATTTTCGAGAACTAGAATTCTGAGGTACTCTTCCAGGTGGATGAAATTCTATCCATAGGGAAGGGAAGGCAATGGTCGAAGCATTAACTGAAAGATGCGCTTGGCCATGGGAATGGGAGAGGCATGGTGGGTCCCTTCATTTGACCTAACTTATTCCTGTCTTCTAGCGAAGGGAGCGTTGTGCATCCATCATTTCATTTTCCTTCTTTTTTGTTTGTGCAACAAGAAGATATAAAGGTAGATTGATTCATCTTCATGGTCAGATATATGATGTTCTTGGTGTGCTCGGTTTGGATTGATTTTGTTTTTTACCTTTTTCATTTAATAATTTATAAGGGCGAAAAAAGAGAGAAGAAAATAGACTCACGCTTTGTTTTGCTTTATAGAAGAGAGAGACCTTTGTCTTGAGAGTGAAAAGTAAGGACAAACGATAAATAGGATAGTCTCTCTCGTACGAACTACTAGAAAATGGTAAGATCAATAGTAAAAAAAGGACCAACGACGATCCTATTCTATCTAAAGAATAAAGGAGGAGGTGGAGGAGTCAATTTTTTTTGAGGATCGAGAAAAAAATCAGACAATTATGTCATTCAAATAGTTAGGCTCAAGCCTTTCCCCTCCCCTCTCCCTCCATAAGACCCTCTTTCTCTTTCTTGAGGGAAAAAGAGAAAGAAGGGAAGCAAATATTTATTTTTTTTCTTTCATGTGAACGACCCTATCTTGACTCTCAATTTTTTAAAGAATTGAATACCTTTGACCTTTGAGTCTTTTATTGACTTAAACATCGAACGGTCAATCTTACGAGCTTTTCCTCTAGTCTCTAACTTTTTTTTTTTTTCAGGTGATCGGGGTCCAACGATCTGACATGGAGGTCACTTCATTTTTTGGGTCAATGGTTTGGCGCCATTTATAAGAAGCAAAAAAATCTCATCAATCAAACAGTTAGAACATTTATTATCTTCTCGGACTACAGTGTCGTCCACCTCGCCAAGGTGATCCGATGGGTTCTCGTTACATCCTCTAACTTCCAAATATCATAGCTCTGAGACTCACTTTTCTGGTCTCAAACCAAGAGTTGTAAAAGGTTTATTAACTTATCAACCATTTCAAATGGGATGGGTCATGCCAAGAATATTTAGCAATGATTCTCTCTGGAATTGCCTTTTGCTCACCATGTAGGTGGGTCACTTCTATAGAAACAAAGTCACCTTTTCAAGGCAAAATTATTTACTTTCGTCCGTAAGCCGTCATTTCTGATTCATAAGAGGTGTTATATCCGTACACCACTGCAGGGATGTAGTTTCACAGAAGAAGAATTTCTCGGTGGCTGGAATTATCATGTGTTTAATTATCCAGATAAGTGCTTGATTTTACCATATTATTATCTGCACTTTTTATCATGTCTTTGACAATATTTGTTGTTATGATAAAACAATAAAAGAGATAAGCATGTTATGAACCAAAGTCACAAGTAAAATAAAACGGAACAAAATAAAAAAATAGAACACACAAAATTTATGTGGTTCATCTCAACAAGCAAACTTACATTCACGAACGAAATACAGCGGTAAAATTTCACTATTTAAAGGTTAGAGATTACAAAGTTATTTAATCAAAAAAACAAGAGAACGTCGACTCACTCTATCCTAATATTATAATATTTATTAGATTAATAAAATAGAGCAAACCAATATTTCTTACTCAAAGAGAATTGACGAACTCCTTGATCTTTGAAGTAGATGAAGACGTTCCAAAAAATTAGCAAGCCGTTGGAGAGGCTAATTACTATATCAATGCTTTTGCACTTCTAAATTCAAGTCCCTACAAAAGTAAAAAATTTCTTGGTTAAGGACTTGTCACATGTTAGAGAAAATCAATAAAGTTCCTCTCGATGTCAAAGACATGGATTGCAAACCAAAACCTATCCAATCGGCAAATAGTCCATTAATTCAAAAACTATCTAATTTTATTCCAACACAAAAAATCTTTTGCACCAAGTGTTGGGCTGTCCACAAAATGCTCCAAATAAAATCCAAGATTAACTTGGAATACAAGTCCCAAAATAACAAATCTCCATCTTGGATTATATTCCATCAAGCCATCTAATAAAAATGAACTTGACTGTTGTCTTCGCCATATACCCCGAAGAATACAACTCAAACAGTGCAAACAACAATCAAGTCCAAACAATGCTTGAACTTGNGTTGTTGAGGAGCAGGAGGTAACCCACGGCCTCTCCCACTTTGCTGTTGAGCGGGGGAGGCCCTGGACCCCCTCCCAAGGTCGTCGTGCCTATGTTTGACCCTCCTCTCCTCCTCTATCTGAGGATCTTGGTCACGGACCTGACCCCGACTGATGACTCTTGAGGAGGGGGTGGCACTGGTCCCTGTAGATGGGGTCCCACCGGCCGATCCTCGTCCCCTCCCAGCAGCGAGGGCTTGCCTCTGCCTGAGGAACCCTAAATCAATACGGGGCGCGCCGGACATTGCTACCTCAAGGGCGTCCTCGACGTCGAGAGATTGTAGGATTTGGAAGTCCGATCAGGAATCTCTCCCCGAAGTCCCCACCTCGGCCTGCGAAGGAACCAAGTCCTCTCCAACCCCGAGCTCTTCTGCCTCACCCTCAACTTCAGCCTCCGAGGCCCGATCAGGTTCTTCTTCCAAGTTCTCCTCGACTTCTTCCCCCGTCGCCCGATCAAAAAGCTCAGACCACCGAGAAGGCTCGAAAAGCGGGGGAAGCTGCGAAAACTTTTTATACCCAGGGGTGTAATTCAGGAGGACGTGGGCAGCCCGACCGAGCCCGTCATCGCCAGTAAAACTCCAAACAGTGATCAAGTCTGCGAAATTCACCGACGATCGGGGTGGAGGTGCTGTTTCCCGAGGGGAGATGTCTGCACAAGCAAAAAAAAGGGGAGAGGGTCATGAGCATGTAGAAAATTTCACGAACAAAATAATAGAGCCCGAAGGAACCGACGTACTTGTCGTTCTCCATTCAAATGGACATAACAATCCGTCATACTCAGGACCGACACCTCTCTGCCAAGATCCCCCGAAGATGAGTAGGTCATCCTTGTACCCCTTGTCCGAGTCAGGAAGGTGAGTTACGAGGTACATAGATGGGTCCCTGGCTTTGAGGTAGAAGTGTTGTTGAGGCGTAACTCTCAAAAGGGAATAACAAAAAAGGATGTCATTTAGCCCGACGTTTACCCCAAGACGCCTATTGAGCTCTAGCACCCCCATAATTATCCTAAAGGCATTAAGGCAACACTGCCCGGGAAAGAGGTGGAAGTGAGAGAGAAACTGGAGAAGCAGAGGGGGCAAAGGGAACCAAATTCCGCCTTCTATAATAGCTTTAATATAAAAAGGCATTGCACCCTCGGTACCGAGGATACCAGGGTGCACAGCCGCATCATAATCCTCTATCTCTACATTCGGTGGAATGTCGTACCTAACCCTAAATCTATCAATTTGTTCACTACCTTTTACTTTATATTTCCCTGGCCTCGAGGTACTAGCCTGAGGGTTCTCGGGGGCAGAACGACGACGAGGCATGTTCAAGAAGTGATAAAAATAGAGGGAGTTTTTTTTCCACGAAGATCCCCAAGAAAGCTTCCCAGGGGTCGATTACTGGATGGCAACCAGAAAACACCTCCGATAACCGAAAAATCAAAAGAGACAGAAGGGCAAAGAAATGGAGGATACTGGAACTCACCAGAGCATAAGAAGAGGTATTTTCTGGAAAACTTGAATCGATTCCTTCCCAGAATGTTCAAAAACAAAGGACGGATCTGCTTGCTTTGAAGCTTCAGTGAAAAGGTTGGACAGTTAAGAGGCAGAAGAAAAGAGGTCTCCGACGAAGATTCAGACAAGGGCTCTCTGGAAGAAAAGTTCAGAATGACGAAATGAGGAAAAGAAGGAGGAAGCCCATTTATATAGTACCGGTCTCATCATTGGGCGCGAAACACGAAAGGGCGCATTTAATGCGCACGACTCCCTAAGCGAGGGAAAGCGGCTAGAGGCAATGATGAAGCAATTGAGGTTGTTGGGAAACCTTTCGTCTCCTTACGACGCGTGTCCTCGGCGTCAGAAGATCAAAGGCTGGGGGCAGTTGATGAGACTTTTCTGAAATACTCCAAGATGAAGACATGTGTCCTCGGGCGTCACTAAAATCCTGTTAACTGAGATCACGTACCATCGGCTTATAAATCCCTCGCCCCGAGGTGTTTGATGCGTGTCGAGTACGTTTTGCGAACCGACACGTATCCCTCGGTCTAATATGTACCTCGGTCTGTATTGTACCTCGGTCATCATGAANTGTCCCGAGGTGCTTGACGCGTGTTGAGTACGTTTTGCGAACCGACACGTATCCCTCGGTCTAATATGTACCTCGGTCTGTATTGTACCTCGGTCATCATGAACGACTTCCCTCGGCTCGAGATGTACCTATCCTCGGTACCGAGATGTTCATTACCTCGGTACCGATATGTACCGTCCAAGATGCCTTTTTTCTCTGCTCCAGTATAAGTTATTGATGTACAGGTCACTAGCCTAGGCTAGTCTAGGTTAGCTATCATNTTTCCCTCGGCTCAAGATGTACCTATCCTCGGTACCGAGATGTTCATTACCTCGGTACCGATATGTACCGTCCAAGATGCCTTTTTTCTCTGCTCCAGTATAAGTTATTGATGTACAGGTCACTAGCCTAGGCTAGTCTAGGTTAGCTATCATGGTCTCGTCTTACACAAATTAGTGTCAGAGGGAACAGGAAGGCGGGGTCCACAGCCAATAAAGGATGGACGCGTGGCAAATTGTGTCACATCAGAGACAGAAAGACCGCATGCCCTNAGGGTCCACAGCCAATAAGGGATAAACGCGTGGCAAATTGTGTCACATCAGAGACAGAAAGACCGCATGCCCTTACTGACACGCGACTTGGGAAAGCAAACATTTAATTACACCATTCCATTGATGAGACCGCATTCAATGCGGTAAGGCTCAGAATTGAAAGACAATAAATGTCTTTAAGGCTGGGCATTTATTGCATTCTCCCCGAGCGGGGATCATCAGACAGTCGGCAGCCCGATGACACAGCATTGATTACTCGGCTCCTTGAGCAGTTAAAGAAAGGAAGACATTTCTCATCAGAATCAGTGCGCACACTGCCAGTACCTAATGATCATCTACTGACGACACTGACAACAATCATGAACTTTTGATGTATAAATACTCCTCATAAAAGGCAAAAAGGTATACAACAAGAAACTCTTTACTACGAGAGATACTCAGTGCTTTCTTCCTCCTCTCCCTTTCAAAAGCTGACTTGATCGTCGGAGGGGATAAGCCGGAAAACACTCTGGCGCCCTTCTAACCTGTTCTCCTTTGTTCCAGGAACCTTTTTCCAGCCTTACTGGATCATCCCTTCAGTTCACGAGGGTCTCCCGTTACCGTTCCAGGTCACCACCGGATCTCACAGGCTGTCCCAAGCAGCGTGGTTGGTCACTCAGCTGACTCACTCGAGTTCACCAAGGGAGAGNATAAGCCGGAAAACACTCCGACGCCCTTCTAACTTGTTCTCTTTTTTTCCAGGAACCTTTTCTCAGCCTTACTGGATCATCCCTTCAGTTCACGAGGGTCTCCCGTTACCGTTCCAGGTCACCACCGAATCTCACAGGCTGTCCCAAGCAGCGTGGTTGGTCACTCAGCTGACTCACTCGAGTTCACCAAGGGAGATATCTGTTCTCGTTTTTTATATTGTGCAAGATCCTGCACGCACAAGTTTCAAGAACAGTTAGTTCACCAAAAATTCAGGAAAAACAATGTTTTCTGCCAATGTCTTGACTATGATCGGTGAGTGTAGCTTCTGAATCCAATCTGGCTTAATGAAATACCATTTGCTCTTTTAAACAAAACAAATGAGAGTTTCTTCAAGTCAACAGAAAAAAGTTGAGTCATAAAAATATCATCTCCCACCGGACTTGATCATTAATTGCACACATATCTAACTCTCGCAAGTTAATGTGTTTCAAGTGGGCTGCCTAATCTTCAAAAAAAAAAAAGGTGGGCTGCCTAAATCCCTAAATTTCCTGTTTGAAAGGACGAAGAGTTTTTTTTTTTTTTGAAAGACGGGACGAAGAGTTAAAAGCTAGGTACGTTCGTTACAAAAAGCTCAACTGGTACTAAAATGTCAAGGTCTCACAAGGCCCAACCACGGAGGATGTGAGGCTATAATAACTTTATCAGGCCTTCTATATTTTCAAACCATACATGAAAGAAGAGCAGCAGACTAAACAATCCCACATACGGCGGTCTAGATTTGATTGATTGAGTCATAAAAACTTTCTATTTCAAAAATCAACTTTTAACCACAGATGAAAGAAGAGCAACAGACTAAAAGGTCCCGCATACAACATCCACTACTACTGACTCAGCAACCTTACCGGAACTTTCATCATTCTACTACCAATCACCTGGAAGCAGCTGTAAGTCCGGCCTTTTTATCATCATAGCCAGTGAAAAACCGTAAAATGTAATGCGCGCCACGCAACAGACTCAAAATTCAATTTAGGACCCCTCCATTAGCAGCAAAAAAGAACTAATCCATCTGAATTTTTCTCAAAATATCTCACAATTGACCACATCAGGGCCTTCCTCATCTCAGCATAAAGTTTTCATTTATAGAATTCAGTTGTCAGGATTGGCAAACAAGTAGGATAAACTAAGAATTCCTTATACCAATGAAACTCACATGTCAAGTCACATGAAACACACCTCCACCACGCCACGCCCGCTACCTAGTATTCCACCTTTAGCCATAGACCAATTTTTTTGGCTGATTATCACTTTTTTGGGTATAAATTTTTCGGTTCAAGGACATACCAATTTCACTGATATATTTTTTTTTGAAGCACATGTAAGATAAATATCGCCAACAAACAAACTTTCTTGTATGATACCAAAAAATAGGGGAGTGGTACCGAACTCTAATCATTTTTAATCGGCCATCGTCATTTACAACAAATATTCAAGAAAAGTGGGTGAGTTCTCTCTTGCTCTCTCTCTCGATGGAGCAAGAAATTTCACAGAGATCTGTTGCTTTGATCGTGGGTGTCACTGGCATGGTCGGTCTGAGCTTAGCAGAGGCATTAAAGAAGCCAACAGCACTTGGTGGTCCGTGGAAAGTCTATGGCAGCGCACGGCGGTCCTTGCCAACCTGGTTCCCGCCGTCAACCATCGACCACTACATAGCCTTTGACGCCACAGACCACACAGACACCATGGAAAAGCTCACTCCTTTTTCCGGAGAAGTCACCCATGTCTTCTGGGTAGCAATCCAAGTTCACGAAAACGAAGAAGCCAACGTTACCATCAACACCGCCATGCTCCAAAACGTCCTCAGTGTTCTCCTCCAATCATCTCCGCCGTCGCCGCTCCGGCATGTCACACTTCAAACAGGTACACAATACTACATGGGTCCAATACACGATCCGATCCTCGGTTTCAAACTCAATCCTCACGAGTCGCCATTTAGAGAAGACTCTCCTCGCCTTCCTCACCCAAACTTTTACTACCCTCTAGAGGACCTTGTGGCATCATACTCTCCGGCCGTTACCTTTTCCATTCACCGTTCGTCTATCATAATCGGAGCTTCTTCACGGAGTTTTTACAATACCCTTCTCACTTTGTGTGTGTACGCAACTATATGTAAGTATGAGGGCTTAGCATTCAGATACCCAGGCACTAAATACACATGGAACCATTTCTGTGATGTGTCCGACGCCGGCGTTCTAGCAGAGCAGCAAATTTGGGCGGCGGTGACGGACGAAGCTAAAAACCAGGCTTTTAATTGCACTAATGGAGATGTATTTACATGGAGGAGCTTATGGAAAATACTGTGCGAGATATTTGATGTTGAGTTTGTGCCGTTTGATGAGAGAGAAAAGTTCGATTGGGTGGAAGAGATGGGGAAGAAAGAAGAAGTGTGGAATAGTATTGTAGAGGAATATGGGTTGTATAAGACCAAATTGAGTGAAATCACTTGTTTTGCAGCTCTTAATACTATATTACATTTTGGGTTTCAACATGTTTGTAGCATGAACAAGAGTCGTGAATTCGGATTTTTTGGGTATGCTGATACGATGAAGAGTATTAAGATATGGATGGAAAGACTTAGAATGATGAAAACCATCCCCTAAATTAAGGAGGGTTTGGGCGGACGGCGATGGGGTCATCATCGGAGTTGTTATTGCTCCCGTGACCGGAGTAACCCATTCCTGGAGCTTTTGCGTGGAAACTATGCTACGATGGAGTTTGTAACAGTTATAAAGGATTAAGCCGGAGGAATGTCGGGAAAAGCTCTGGTTAGGTTGGAGTCGCGTGTAATAATTACGCCTTGTGTGCGTGTGATAGACTAAGCGGTCAAAAGCTGCTGCTATCTTTTCTCTACCCTATCCTTAGGCCACGTGGAGGTGTTTAATTTTAATTTGATTTTAAGCTGGTTACTTCTTATCTTATCTTATCTTGTTATGGGCCGTCCACTTTGGAAATTATCCTTATGCATATCCAACGTCGGCCCTTATATGCGGGCTTTGTTGTCTGCTTTTTTGTTCACTTTGGGCCTTTGCTTGGGTACCCAACCTAATCAAAGTTTTTTTTATTGGGCCATTTTTTATTACCCCGACCTATTCTTGTGGACTGGTTTTCCAATCTTAGGCATTACCACTTTGGGCCTTTACTTGAGTACCCAAGCAAATAAACTTTATGTTTATTGGGCCTTTAATTTTATGACCTCTACCTATTCTTGTGGACTGGTTTTCCATTCTTAGGCATTGGGTTACTCTGGGCCTTTACTTGGGTACCCAAGCAAATAAACGATATGTTTATTGGGGCTTTCTTTTTATGACCCCTAACTCTTCTTGTAGACTGGTTTCCCAATCCTTAGGCATGTATTAGTTCCCCGTTGTGATTACATGAATGTGGACAGATATGGATTAGATGACTGAAGTAGTCAATTCTAATTCAACTTATTTAATTATTCGCGTGACAATGAACGGACTTTAACCCGTTCTTTTTTTTAATACTTTTAAATTCAGATATCCTGGCCATTGAATGAAAAAAAAAAAATACTATTAGACATTCATAAGAAAATAATTAACTTCATTAAGATGCTAACAAAGTTTTAAGTGAAAAAAAAACTAAGAATATACTTCAATCTATACTATTTTAAAATGTCAACAAAAGTAAAAAAAAATTATTTAACTATTTTGTCTTTGATTATTGTTATAAAGTCAGGCATAAACTCTCATTTTTTTTTATTTTATCTAATTAATTATAAAATCTTTTTATATCTTTTCATCTTCTTAAATTAATTATGTGCATAAATTTAATATTTAATTATATTTATTTGAACTTTAATAATTAATTTTAACCTTTAATTTTTATTTTAATTTTGTCCTTAAATGATCTTTCTGAAAGACAAAATTATTCCTTTATTTGGCTTAAATATAATTTTTTTTTTTGAGTTTCAACTTTCTTCTTAAATATATATATAAACTATAAAAAAATATGTGTGCGTGTGTATATACACACACACACACATATATACTACTTCTAAATATACTTGCATTGAACATTTTTTTGATCGACTCTTTTATCGTTGAATATCACTTCAATATCAAACTACCATCCACCTAAATAAATATTCTTCATTATGTAGTAAATTTATTTATAGAAACTTTCCATCTCTCTTTTTTTCTCACTAACCATTATATTGGCACTAAATCCAAATTAATATACTAACTAAAGAAAAAATATACAGTTCATTATTAATCACACTTGATTTCTTGTCTTTTTGTATTCTAAATTGTTAGTCATCTATTGTTTTTTCATCCATTTAACTTCCCTCTCACTTTACATGCACAAATAAATATAAATAAAAAAAACAAAAAATTTCAACGACAAACCCTTTAGTTAACCATATCTTCAAGGACATCTCTTCTAGTTTCTGAATTTTCAATAACACCCCTTCTAGTTTAATTTAAATATCACTAACACCCCCTACCATTAAACTACTATTTTTAACAAAACAAATTCATCTAAAATACCAAAAATGCCCCTACATAACCTCAAGTAATTTTTTTACATAAAATTTTATTAAAATTTGACCTATTAAAATTTTTAAAAAAAACATAAATAACAATTTTAATAAATAATGTGTTAGTAAATATTAATTTGTTATTTACTAATTCGTAAATTTAAAAAAAAAATATTGAGCCTATTAAATTTTTTTTTACATATTAAAATTTGAGCCGATCTGAACTCTACCTAAGTTGTTAGCGTCGATTAAAATTCTCTTTCGAGTCGATTAAAATTTATATTTTTTTACTTATTAAAATTTGTGTCAATTAAAATTAGATTTATTAAAATTTAAGTCAATTAAAATTCACATATTTTTATATATTAAAATTTGGACTGATTAAAATTCAATGCGAATTAATTAAAATTTGATTTGAGTCGATTAAAAATAATTTTTTATTGTCTCAAACAAAATTTTAATTAGTCCAAATTCTAATACGTAAAAAAAATATAATTTTTAATTGGCACAAATTTTAATATGTAAAAAAATAAAATTTAATTAGTTTGAATCGAATTTTAATCGGTTTGAATTTAATTACGTAAAAAAAATTAGAAAACAGAGGGGGTCTCATTGAAAATATACTTATCTAGAGGAGGTCTCATTGAAGATATGTTTATCTAGAGGGAGTGTGGATTAAGTTTGTCCTCAAATATGTCATGGGCAATTTAGTAAAATTGTATTGTACTTAATATTTTTAATTTGATAAGAGATGTTATTGAAGATTCAGAAACTAGAGGAGGTGTTCTTGAAGATATAATAAACTAGAGGGAGTGTGGTTGAAATTTTTCCTAAAAAAAATAATTTGGAATAATCAAAACTGCTTTGTTTTAATTAGCCACTTTATGACTTTTTATGTTTTCTTTATCTTCTTCATAATTTTTTGTATATATATATATATATATATATATATTGTGTCATTCATAGAGATTTCACTCCTACCACTAACCATTCTCTACGAACCAAAAACCTAATAACAAGATCCACGACTTTATCAAATTCATGTTCACTTACTCCATCACCATATTCCACCGTCACACTATCCTATAGTAAGATGGTGGGCTTCTCAACAATCTAAAGGTCATAGATTAAGCAACTCTTGGGGCTTGATCTAACTGCTATCGTCGAATGTCCCTTCCACTCACACCAACNAACAAGATCCACGACTTTATCAAATTCATGTTCACTTACCCCATCACCATATTCCACCGTCACACTATCCTATACTAAGATGGTGGGCTTCTCAACAATCTAAAGGTCATAGATTAAGCAACTCTTGGGGCTTGATCTAACTGCTATCGTCGAATGTCCCTTCCACTCACACCAACAACTATTATATATATATATATATACTACTTTCCTCACTTAGCTTGTGAATGTAGTTGGCAAAAAATAATATCAACATCTTTTATCTATTCATCAAAGCAATAAGATGTCAAAAAATTAACTTCATTTGCATGTAAAAATGAAGTTGATGAAATTTATTCTTTGTACTATGCCATATTTAAGATTTATATAAAGTTTAATTAGGGTGATTATGGTGTTTGTATATAATGAAATGTTGTATTTTATTGATTGATATATTTTTGTTCCAGACACCTCAATCACTGAGGAGCAAATCAATCTTCACATGAGGAGGTTTTTGATTTTTTGGGTTTTTAGAGTTGGTAAGTATGGTTCTTTTATTTTTTTTGAATTGAATTTATGCTCCTCCTGCTAAAATAGAATTCATGGGTTGTCACTGAAATTGAAAATTAAAATTTACAATTTTAATTAACTTTGTCCTCAAATTTCAATTCAAAGGTATAAACTCCAATTCCAAGGCATAAATGGTTCACTATTTTTTATTGTTTATCTATCTATTAATTCTAATATTTTTACATACCACTTCACATATTAGATGTTTTAATATGTAATTTTAAAACTTACAGTTATAATTTTAAAGAAGGAACATATATAATGACTTTTACTTATAGGGTATATTATAAAATAATGAATACTCTATATATATATATATATATATTTGGGTGTGAGACCGTACTATAAAAGCCAATAGTACTTGGTGGTTACATAAGAGGACAACGGGAATATCATACTTAAAAAATCTTAATAATATTTATAGGTTGTTGTATTTACATGATTATTTTAAATAATTATAAAATTAAAATTAAAAAAAAATCATATTTTAAAATAGTTGACGGACAAAGTACGTGTCCATGATCTAGTATTTATAAAAATGAGTTCAATTTCTCTTAAAGANCATGATTATTTTAAATAATTATAAAATTAAAATTAAAAAAAAATCATATTTTAAAATAGTTGACGGCCAAAGTACGTGTCCATGATCTAGTATTTATAAAAATGAGTTCAATTTCTCTTAAAGAATGACAAATTGCCAAAAACTATACTCCAAAAACATTGCAGGCCCATGAAATTGTATTATTTTTTTATGTCGTTAGCTGCCTGTCTTGTGGAATTTTCCTTCTTGTAATCTTGTTTTATGGTGATATGCCAACGAATTTTGAAAGATAAATTGTAAATTCAAATGTATTGAATTCGAATTTTAACAATTTTTTAAGGTCAAATCATGAAGAAATTATCCTTCATGAATATCTTAAGATAGTCCGACATAAATAGATCAACTTAANAGATAAATTGTAAATTCAAATGTATTGAATTCGAATTTTAACAATTTTTTAAGATCAAATCATAAAGAAATTATCCTTCATGAATATCTTAAGATAGTCCGACATAAATAGATCAACTTAAGCTGGTTTGGATCGACATAAAAAGAGTTGAGACATAAAAGGGGTTAAGAATTAATCCAGTTAAGACTAAATGATGGCATATATACAATTGATTCCCTTCCTCTGTTAAATGTACCACATCAGCGTTTGTTCAAGAAAATTTGCATTCCCCTTTGTGTGTGTGTGTGTGTAATGGAGAAAGAAGACCCCTGTAGTCATAGAGTAGTAGCTCTGATTATTGGCGTGACCGGCATGGTTGGCCTAGCCTNATTAAATGTACCACATCAGCGTTTGTTCAAGAAAATTTGCATTCCCCTTTGTGTGTGTGTGTGTGTAATGGAGAAAGAAGACCCCCGTAGTCATAGAGTAGTAGCTCTGATTATTGGCGTGACCGGCATGGTTGGCCTAGCCTTGGTCGAAGCTCTAAAAGCCAACCGCTCTAGACGGTCCACGGTGCATCTAGAAGTCCTCTTCCAACTTGGTTCCCACCTTCCCTCCTCCACCACTACACAATCTTTGACTCCATAAATTCCGGCGACACCAATGAAAAGCTCTTCCCTATATCCTCAGAAATAACCCACGTCTTCTGGGTTGCATTCCAACTCCGAGAAATCGAAGAACTCAACGTTGAACTCAACTCAACCATGCTCACCAATGTCCTCAAAGCCCTAAAATCATACTCACCAACTTCAAACCTCCAACAAATCACATTACAAACAGGCACCAAACACTATATGGGACTTTTCTTCGACTTATCTCTCTTAGACCAACTCGTACCTCACGAGCCACCGTTCTAAGAAGAGTACCCTCGACTACCACTCCCCAACTTCTACTATGCATTAGAAGACCTAATAGCCTCTTACACGCAGATATTTACATATTCCATACATTGATCTTCTATAATCATGGGCGTGTCTTCAAGAAGTGTTCATAATTCATTGCTTACTCTCTTCGTGTATGCATTAATATGCAAGCACGAAGGCTTGCCGTTTAGGTACTCATGTGATTCACTTGCTTTTAAGGGGTTCAATTCAACAGTAGTTTCAAGGTAAACTTTGTATTTATTGTTTTTCTGACAGGTATCCTAGTAACCGGTACACTTGGGAACATTTTTGCCATATGTCGGATGCTGGACTTCTAGCTGAGCAGCAAATATGGGCAGCTATGACAGACAAGGCCAAGAACCAAGCATTCAATTGCACAAATGGTGTTTTTTACTTGGAAGAGCTTTTGGACAGTGGTTTGCAAGATCTTTAATCTTAAGCCTGAGCCCTTTGATGAGAAAGACAAGTTTGATTGGGTAGAAATTGATGATGTAAAAATTGGGTTTGTACACCACCTGTTAAATGATCAGTAATAAATGCAATAATAAAGTAGAGAGAGATGATAAGCTAGTCAAGATAAGGATTTATAGTGGTTCGGTCAGCGTGACCTACGACCACTTTGAATGGCTAGAGTCGCTGGGGTATTTTATTAATTCAAGTGTATAGGGAGAGTAGGGAGAAACAAGCTGAGAGAGATAGGAGAGATGTGCTCCACTGAGTATCACGCCCCCCAAGTGTTGGCGGGGTTTACAATTTATAGTTAGCTCATAACAGATTGAAGCGAGTTATTAGTAACTAAGCGGCTAATCTTGTGGAGTTGTTAACATCTTCTCAACGGATGAGGCAGTTACGTGCTCTCTATACGATTCGGTCAAAGGATGACGTAAGGGTTGACTCTTTTCAAGGCTGCGTGGATGAGGATCTCAGATGATCCAGCTTACTCCTTTAGCGAGCTTGACCGGGCGTGGATCCCTTTGGGCTGAATACTAGATTGTTATAAGTTGGGCTCTTGATTTAAACTGGGTTTTCAACATGAAATGGGTCATTGGGCCCGGTCCATCATTTGCCCCCCAATTCCCCGTGTAAAATGAAACTTGAAGAATAGGGCATTTGGTTGAACTTTGCATTCCGGTTGGTGGAGACTCCTTTTGACCTCAACTCTGTAGAATACTTCAAGACCTTCCTCGTTTTTATTTGGGTTCTAGACAATCCCTTGGTTTCAAATATGGACTTTTTCCCTTTTTCCATTCTACCCATTTCATACAATTTTGAAAGAGAGTTCCTTCTTGAGATACTTGAAGACCAAGGTTAGAGCTTTTGTTCCTGAGATGAGTTCTCAGAATTTAATGTCGAGTGAAGGAGAGAAGATTCAAAGGTTCACTAGCTTCCATGGCGATGAAGCATTTAGTACAGAGGTAGGCAATAAGGCCGCCGGCGGGTGAGCCATCTATGGGTGCGATAGAGGAGGCGACACTGGACGGCGTTGATGTGGAGTCGTCGGGCGAGCTAGTCGGTGCACGCAGGGGAGGTGGGCACCGACCTGGGCGAGTAGACTGCTCGTGCAAGGGAGGTGGGCAAGCTGGCCGTGTGCGTAGGAGGGGCTGCTACGCTGGCTGGGCGCACAGGAGGGGCTGCTGCGCAGTCTAGGAGCATAGAAGGGGCTGTTGCGCTGGCTGGGCGAGTAGGAGGGGCTGTTACGTTGGCTGGGCGAGCAGGATGGGCTACTACGCTGGCTAGGTGCACAAGAGGGGCACTGATGGAGTGGCACCTATGGTGTTGGGCCCTGCTAGAGAGGTGCCTATGGCGCTGGTCACTACTAAAGGGGCGCCCATGGCGCTAGGCACTGCTGGAGGGACGCCTATGGTGCTAGGCGGGACACTATAGGCATCGGGTATTGGCGATGAGGCGCCTATAGTGTTGGGCGTTGCTGGTGAGGTGCCTATGCTACTGGACGAGATACAATTGGTGACGAGTGCCCCTTGTGAAGCAAGAATGGCGCTTAGGCGCGCTGGGCGCAGATTTGCCAATGCTAGGCGAACCAGGCGCGGTAACTAAGATTGAGCATGGAGTTATGAGGCCCAATTGTTGACATTCAATTTAATGTAGTCCCACGGGTTGTAGATGACCTGAGTTTCAAAAGTGTGCCTAGAGATGACAAAAATAATGTTATTCCAACATCAAAATATCTAACATAGCATGAGACCAATGATAGAGTCTGAGGATTACTCGTGAGAGAGCTATATCTCTTCAGACCGAGCTTTTGGCGATCCTTGAGAGAGTCGCTAAACTAGAGGTAGGTTACCTACTTGAGAGCAGAGCAGAGGCCAAGCTTTTGGTGACCCACGAGAGAGCCGTTCAACTGAAGATATATGTTGTCTACTTGAGAGCAGAGTAAAGATAGGCTAAGCTTTTGGCGACCTGTGAGAGAGCCGCTCAGTTGGAGATATTGGCTGTCTGCTTGAAAGCAGAGTAGAGATAGGTCAAGCTTTTGGTGATTCGCAAGAGAGCCACTAAGTTGGAAACATAGGCTACTTGCTTGGGAGTAGAGCAGAAATAGGCCAAACTTTTGGCGACCTGCGAGAGAACCACTAAGATGCAGATATACTAACTGTGAGGCTTCCTGGATGAGAGCAAAGGTAGAATTTGAGAGTTAGCCCATGGGAGGGCCACCAAGCTGAAGGCTCATTCCAATAGATGGAGATGAGGAGGGAACAAAGGAGCTGGGCGCCTAAGAAGCTGGTGCTTGAGGAGCTGAGTGCCTGGGTTGGAGCACTGATGGGCCCCTGGCGTTGAGTCTTCTTGACAATCTTTCTCCTCAAGCGGTGTGAGCTCAGCCACAAAATCTTTTAATGTATGTGCCTTTGTGGCTTCTTTTTTTAGAGTCAAGCGCAGGTGGTGGTGATGTTGTCGAGGACTCACTTCACCTGGCTTTGGTGACATCCTTGGCGTTTATGTATTTTTGAGTTTTTGCCCACAATTCTGGCATGCTCTTTAGTGGGTGCTTCATCATTGAGAAGAGAAAGCTAGATGAGGGTAGGTCTCCTAGGAAGGCGGTCATGGTGACCTTATCGTCGGGTACCTTGATCTGAAGGAACTACTTGTTAAAACGAGTGAGGTAACTTCTCAGACTTTCATCCCAAGCAATGGAAAGTGGATCTCTTAAGGGACCCAAGATGAGCAAGTCTGGACCTACACTCTCACACTTAATATTTGCTAATTATTCTATTTTTTTCTCTGCAGAAACTGGAGCAGGTCAAATCCTAATGGACATCCTCAATAGATACTACTTTACTATTGTCCAAATGATCAATTTGAACAAGTCTGCAATTACTTTTTATCATCAACAAGAGCTTGCTCTGTACCTCAGAATCCCAAAGGCACACAAAGCAAGGAAGCATTTGGGACTACCTCTAGAGTGCGGAGGATCTAAGAAATAAACACTAGTCTGGATCAAGGAAATGACTCTCTACAAAATAGTATGATGGAAGGAGAGATTCTTGTACCATGCTGGGAAGGAAACACTAATCAAGGCGATAATACAAGCTATACCAGCATATGTCATGTCAATATTCAAATTTTCTAAGTCCTTTTGTCAAGACATCCCTTCCAGTATAAAGAGGTTCTAGTGGAAGAACACATTAGGGGAAAGGGACATTTTACTGGAAAAGTTGGAACCAACTACTAGAAGCAAAAAAGATGGGGGTCTAAGCTTTAGAGACCTAGAAAACTTCAACAAAGCCTTGTTAGCAAAACAATTTTGGAGATTTTTTAAGGTTCTAGAATCACTTTGGGCCAAATTTTCGTAGGAAAAATACTGTTAAGGACAATCTATATGGGAGGTGAAAGTTAAACCACTAAACTCTTGAATTTGGAAAAGTCTTTGGAGGGCAGAGATGTGTTGGCTAAAGGCTGCAATTAAAAGATTAGAGAATGGAGATAACAACCAAATTATATGTTGGGAGGATCCTTGGGTTCTGGGAGCCAACAAATACCCCATACTGGGCAAACAATATCTCAAGAGTGCAAGAACTTATTCAACAACCCCATAGAAGATGGAATTCAGAGCTCATTCACAATGTCTTTGCCCCAAAAATATCCAAAGAAATTCTATCAATACCTCTGGATGAAACCCAATAGTAAGATGAAATAAAATGGGCCTGCACAATATCTGGTTGCTTCCTAGTGAAGAGTGGATACTATATACTCTAGTAGACTCCAATGACCACTCAATCGGGTTAGTAGCTTCCAAGTTCTAAAAGGCCTATGGAATGAAATCTAGGGATTAAAAGTGCCTTCAAAGGTTCAATCTTTCATGTGGAAACTTGCTAATGGAATCTTAGCAACCAAATGGGTTTTTTGGAAGAGGAAACTTACACAAAATCTCATGTGCCCAAGATGTGGAGAGGAAGAAGAAAAAATTGAACACCGTTTTTGATTATGCCCTCCTCTATATGGAAGGATTCCCCCCATAACATAGTTATAGATAGGTATGAAATTACAAGGATGGAAAAGTTTGGTTTGATGAAACACCTGAAACAATTGACAAGGACAAGAATTATGGATCTACTAAGCCAACCCTGTTAGCACATTTGTATTGGTCATTTGGAAGGTTCGCAACCAATGGGTATATCAAAGTCAATACCCTAACTGCAAGAATGTAATCAATCAGACAATTACAGCCAGTGCAGAACTCTTGCCAATAGAAGCTGCATCAGGTAGCCAGTTAGATTTACAACATATGGAGATTGTATTGGGGCACGGATCCTCTGTTGTTCCTTGATAACAACAAATGTTGCTCTTAGCTCAAACGACGCCGCATCAACACAAGACAAAACAACCGGCTCCCAAAATTCAAAACCAAACACAACAATATTAATAAGGGCTTTGCTTAAATATGATACAAAAATTTATCAAGTATTTGGCTTAAATCTAATATTATAATTCTAATCTAAGTTTGAATATAGTAGAAAAATTATAATATTAAATTTAATCAAAATACTTGAAATATTTATTTTGAATATAATTAATTTTAATTTTATTTATTTATTTAATTAATCATATCAAATATCTCAAAATAACATGTCTTACACATTTGATACACATATCTCGTGAATCAAAAATTTAACACTAAAATTTCTTTATCTCTTAAGAAAACTCAAAGCTAATGTATTTTTATAAATTAAAAATTCATCTGATCTTTATGCAAGTCAAATCGAGAGAAAAAATTCCTTAATTCTATAATAAGTTTGATTACATGGATATAAATTAATATTTTTTAAGTCAATTATATCATATTTCGTGGATTTATATTTAAATATACTTATATTTATTAAAATTTTGATCTTATTTGAGATACGTGTGTTTATGTGTGTAAATAGGGAAGTAGTATCAATTCCCTATTCTATAAGAATCTATGAAATTGAATTAAAATTTAGATTTTATTATTATTCAGTTGAACGATTTTGTTCGGANGGATCTACACTCTCACACTTAATATTTGCTAATTATTCTATTTTTTTCTCTGCAGAAACTGGAGCAGGTCAAATCCTAATGGACATCCTCAATAGATACTACTTTACTATTGTCCAAATGATCAATTTGAACAAGTCTGCAATTACTTTTTATCATCAACAAGAGCTTGCTCTGTACCTCAGAATCCCAAAGGCACACAAAGCAAGGAAGCATTTGGGACTACCTCTAGAGTGCGGAGGATCTAAGAAATAAACACTAGTCTGGATCAAGGAAATGACTCTCTACAAAATAGTATGATGGAAGGAGAGATTCTTGTACCATGCTGGGAAGGAAACACTAATCAAGGCGATAATACAAGCTATACCAGCATATGTCATGTCAATATTCAAATTTTCTAAGTCCTTTTGTCAAGACATCCCTTCCAGTATAAAGAGGTTCTAGTGGAAGAACACATTAGGGGAAAGGGACATTTTACTGGAAAAGTTGGAACCAACTACTAGAAGCAAGAAAGATGGGGGTCTAAGCTTTAGAGACCTAGAAAACTTCAACAAAGCCTTGTTAGCAAAACAATTTTGGAGATTTTTTAAGGTTCTAGAATCACTTTGGGCCAAATTTTCGTAGGAAAAATACTGTTAAGGACAATCTATATGGGAGGTGAAAGTTAAACCACTAAACTCTTGAATTTGGAAAAGTCTTTGGAGGGCAGAGATGTGTTGGCTAAAGGCTGCAATTAAAAGATTAGAGAATGGAGATAACAACCAAATTATATGTTGGGAGGATCCTTGGGTTCTGGGAGCCAACAAATACCCCATACTGGGCAAACAATATCTCAAGAGTGCAAGAACTTATTCAACAACCCCATAGAAGATGGAATTCAGAGCTCATTCACAATGTCTTTGCCCCAAAAATATCCAAAGAAATTCTATCAATACCTCTGGATGAAACCCAATAGTAAGATGAAATAAAATGGGCCTGCACAATATCTGGTTGCTTCCTAGTGAAGAGTGGATACTATATACTCTAGTAGACTCCAATGACCACTCAATCGGGTTAGTAGCTTCCAAGTTCTAAAAGGCCTATGGAATGAAATCTAGGGATTAAAAGTGCCTTCAAAGGTTCAATCTTTCATGTGGAAACTTGCTAATGGAATCTTAGCAACCAAATGGGTTTTTTGGAAGAGGAAACTTACACAAAATCTCATGTGCCCAAGATGTGGAGAGGAAGAAGAAAAAATTGAACACCGTTTTTGATTATGCCCTCCTCTATATGGAAGGATTCCCCCCATAACATAGTTATAGATAGGTATGAAATTACAAGGATGGAAAAGTTTGGTTTGATGAAACACCTGAAACAATTGACAAGGACAAGAATTATGGATCTACTAAGCCAACCCTGTTAGCACATTTGTATTGGTCATTTGGAAGGTTCGCAACCAATGGGTATATCAAAGTCAATACCCTAACTGCAAGAATGTAATCAATCAGACAATTACAGCCAGTGCAGAACTCTTGCCAATAGAAGCTGCATCAGGTAGCCAGTTAGATTTACAACATATGGAGATTGTATTGGGGCACGGATCCTCTGTTGTTCCTTGATAACAACAAATGTTGCTCTTAGCTCAAACGACGCCGCATCAACACAAGACAAAACAACCGGCTCCCAAAATTCAAAACCAAACACAACAATATTAATAAGGGCTTTGCTTAAATATGATACAAAAATTTATCAAGTATTTGGCTTAAATCTAATATTATAATTCTAATCTAAGTTTGAATATAGTAGAAAAATTATAATATTAAATTTAATCAAAATACTTGAAATATTTATTTTGAATATAATTAATTTTAATTTTATTTATTTATTTAATTAATCATATCAAATATCTCAAAATAACATGTCTTACACATTTGATACACATATCTCGTGAATCAAAAATTTAACACTAAAATTTCTTTATCTCTTAAGAAAACTCAAAGCTAATGTATTTTTATAAATTAAAAATTCATTTGATCTTTATGCAAGTCAAATCGAGAGAAAAAATTCCTTAATTCTATAATAAGTTTGATTACATGGATATAAATTAATATTTTTTAAGTCAATTATATCATATTTCGTGGATTTATATTTAAATATACTTATATTTATTAAAATTTTGATCTTATTTGAGATACGTGTGTTTATGTGTGTAAATAGGGAAGTAGTATCAATTCCCTATTCTATAAGAATCTATGAAATTGAATTAAAATTTAGATTTTATTATTATTCAGTTGAACGATTTTGTTCGGATCAAGTCGATTAGTTCAATTGAATTCGAATATAGATTATTCAAAAGAAAATATTTCAAGTGTTTTGATTAAATTTAATATTATAATTTTTTTATTAGATTCAAACTTGGATTAGAATTATAATATTAGATTTAATCCAAATACTTGATAAATTTTGGTATCATATTTAAGCAAAGCCCTTATTAATATTTGTTGTGTTTGGTCTTGAATTTTGGGAGCCTGCTGTTTTGTCTTGTGTTGATGTGGCGTTGTTTGAGCTAACAGCAACATTTGCTGTTGTCAAGGAACAGTAGAGGATCCGTGCCCGATTGCATTGTCCCCTAAGTGGGGTTTATAAAGATAAATTGTGATGGAGCCTACTTGACTACAACTAGAACAGGAGCTTATGCGACTATGGTATGCAATTATGAAGGTTGACTGATAAATGCGACTATTGCAAACATTATAGCCACTTCACCTTTAGTGGTTGTGGAAGAAGCTTATCATCTGCTGATCATAGAATCTGATTCAAAACAGCTCATTGGTTCTCTCAAGTAAGGGCTGACATCAACCATAAGGGAGATCAAATCAATCAAGCGGGATAATTGGTACTATGCAAATCAACTACCTGAAATTAAATATATATATGCAATGAGGGAATACAACTCAACAGCCCACACAATGGCTAAACAAACCAGTCA